AGTTTTATTTAAGTTGATATTTAGTCTAGATCCAACTTGTTTGTAAACTCATACAATATACTTATTAGTCTTTTCAAGCCCAAACCAGAATTTGAAAATAAAGCAATGTCGTCAGCATACAATAATGAAAACAACTCTAACATGTCGTTCGGGATCAATTGTATTCCTCTATACCCAGATGTCATTCAACATGCTTTGTAGCTCATTAATGTAAAATGAGAATAAAATAGGGCTGATCATGCACCCTTGTCGAACCCCATTCTTCAATTCAAAGAATCTCGAAGTGACCCTTCCTTCACGAACACATGATTTGACAACTTTATAAATACTTAAAATTACATACATTTTTCCGTTGATACCAGTATTGGCCAGTCTAAAGAATAAAAACTCCCTGTTAACCGATTCGAATGCCTTCTGGAAATCTATATAGAGGCAATACAATTTCCCCCTTTCTTGGCTAACTGTTTCTGAACTATGGCATATAAGGTAAATATTTGATCAATAGTTGAATAGTATTAAAAATTAAGTTAAAAAGGGCATTCAAAAATGTTATCGACACATCACATGAAAATTTTAAAAAATCAGCGATTAAAAGGTCAGGACCTGCAGATTTGCCATTTCTAAGTTCATGTATTTACTGAATAATTTCTTCATTCGTTATTGGCACATTCAATGTCGTGTCAGTTTCACCAAATTCTGAAGAATGCGGATCAAAATTATACAGAAAGTTTTTAACTTCAGTAAGATGTTCTCGATCTATGTTATTGTTACATGAATCCTGGTTATACAGTTTTTCAAAGTACATGACCCAATCTTGTAATGGGATTGTCATGAATTTGTTTTTGCGTATCTGTTGACCGACTTAATTAACTGATTATTAGCGAATTGCTGTGTTATGTCTGTCATCGTGTAGGCCTATTTGAAGTTTTGGACGGAACTTGGCTCAGTGATTTGGAACTAATTACAAGATACCGTCGCGATTTTGACAGTTGGTATTCATAGTTATTAATGTAGTGAACGATTAATCAAAAGATATGACGTATTCAGTACTTAGTGTGATTGGCTTTATGATCGAAGGTTACGCCCTAGAGTCTTTTACTGCTTTGTAATTGGTTAGAGTTGTGAAAATGAATAAAGAGAGTTTGAGTTGGTCTTGACGAACACAGCACGATAGACGCAGTAGAGAGAGAAGGCAGTCCTGGGCAGTCGAGAGTCCAGTCCAGGGGCGAGCCTTGAGGCAGTCCAGTCTTGGGCGAGTCTTGGTTCAGCCTTGTGAGAGTCTTGGGGACTTTTCCCCAGGGCGCTGTGTTTTATAGAGTGCTCCAAAAGATCGACTAAGACGAGAGTTGAAACGTATTTCGTTGTGTGTGCCTTATTTGACTGTAAAGTTAAAGTGACTTTCCCGATCCCGTACCTCAAGGGGACGAGATATAGAGACGAGACGAGTTCCCCCCCCCCCCCCGACAAGTGTGGAGAACCCCAGAGAGAGATTTTCCCCCGTGATACGTGAGTGGAGAAACCGGGCAGGTGTTTAACACACATTGACATCCTGTGAAGAGAAGTGAAATGGCGAAGATGTGTCTTTCTTGTGAACCGAACTAACTGGCTCGATGGCAGAGACGAAACCGCGCTTGACGACTAACACCGTTAACAGTATGGCACCGATGAACGACGCTGAAGAGATGAAGACTTCTGAACCCCTTACGAAGGATGAGTACCGGATAGGACTGTATAATTTAGAATTGAGCGACATTAAAGACAAGAAGATGACAAAGAACGACCCGGAATAACGCGACAAGAGAAGACGCTTATAGACTTTGATTAGAACTTTAGCTATTTGCTTAGAGTACCGCTCGCTGGACACTGTAACTGACACTGTGTAACTCAAGACGTTGAACTCTTTTCCACAACCCTAACCCTATTGCTCAGTAATGTAATGTATTGCCTGCTTTTTATTATCGTTTTTACCGTTTTTTTGTGATGTCGAATTGTATGTATGTAAGCGCCCAGATTTTTGTTTTGAAGTGATATTTAGTGACGTTCGAGGTCCTTTATAACGATTTAAGCGCGCCTCAGTGGACAAGTATTTGCAACACAGTGTTTTGAGTTTTGTGATGTTTTATGGTGTTTTAAGGAGTTTATGAGTACGGATTATGATGGGGAAAGTAATGCCCCAATGAGTTTTTAAGAGTTTGAGATTTGTCGATGTACAGAGATATCAACGTTTTAAGAGTTGTTTTTGTTTATGTGTTGTTTCCGGAATACTTCTGACGCTTTTTGAGTTGAGAGCACTTTGTAACGTTTTTTAATGTCGTTTTGAGGTGAGAGTTTGGTGCGCCTATATATGTATTGTTTGATAACGCAAGCTTTTGTTCATGATTGACAGGTTTATATGTAATTCAGTAGTTTCTATCGTTTTAGCCTTTCCCGTCTTTTTTGCCAGAGGAGTAATGTGTTATGAAAGCGACATTGTCTTTGCATTCTGTTACCACGCCGTATGACTTTTGTTTAGATTAACGACTTTTGAGTTCAGTTGAAGTTTATAAGCGTATATGACAGGAGTTTGATTAATAGCTTGTTTAT